AATTGCATGTAGTTTGATTGTAAAGTGTAAACATGCACAAGTGTAACATGCTACAAATGACAGTTACTAGTGCATATTATTATGCCCTTACAGCTGCCTAATTGGGAACTCTCAGATACAATGACTTCAGCACCCAGTGAAATGGCTGAACCTGTCTCATTACACACTTCAATCTCTTTGTCTATTATTGAAATAAACAATATAATATTTATGTGAAAATGTAAACCTTGAGAAAGAGATACATGTACTTCCTTTCCTTCAGCCATGATGAGTTCACGATGAGAGAGCTGTATAGACATTTCGGCCTCATATTGGTTTATCTTCTCATGTAGACATTTGTAAGATGTAAAACATTCCCCAACATTGAACTTAACGAGAGACGGTACATCCACAGGCTCATCGACATGTATACACGCAGCCATGAATGATAATAGCAGTATGGTACGCCCACACAGCCCCCACCCAATTTAATCACGTGATCGCCATTGCCGGACCAATAGCGCTGCAAATCGTGTCCGGCTGCCGGACCAATATCCACTTCCTATTACATTTCCATGAGAGCTAGCTTCTATGATATTAATGTCAGTTATTCTCAAACGTAAAGAAATAGCAACAGATTTCCAGCTAGCAGAAATAGACTTCACTTTATCATAAACTAAATAATACTCATTAATACCTATACAAATCTTTATAAAATACCGTACGCGTCTTAATTTTCGAGGTGTATTAAATTTCGTTATTTTCGTGCTCACCTTAAATCCACGAAATTTAAAACACCTCTAATGCCATTCTATTGTATGTAGACTATGGCCAGAACACGAAAATTAGCTCACACGAATATTAACTTTTGAGCAAATTTCATTGAAAACACGAAATTTTGAACCCTCGAAAATTTGGACGTATACGGTATAATGCATGTCCAGCAATGAGTGGACGCGGATTAGTATACTGAGCAATTATCTCCGTATACTACTGGTTGACTTTATACAGGGCAGGAATGGACATTTCCATTTACTAGGCTATATCTTTCTTCAGAATAAGTCTCATCAATTTGCGCACTTCAGTAGCTGTTCTCCATAATTATACCTGTGTTCCTGCTAAATATGACAGCACTTGGAGTAACTTTGTGTGGAACATTTGCAGATTAAAGATGAGGCAGTCAGTGCCGCCATTTTGTCATTCCTTTATGTATGTATGATAATTTTTTACTTTTTGAATGGTTATATCTAAATTTCAAACAATTTTTGACAAATTGCGCACTTGTTTTGTGAAAGTACAACATTTTTACTGCCCAATCATGCAAAAAAGATAAAGAAATTCAAAACTTTGCTCGGTACTTTAGTCTTCTAAAGGCGAAATAATTTTAGTCATCTCAGTGATAACGGGTGCAGCAACAAGAGTGAACAAGTGCTTTTCTCTTCTCATAGGAATAATAAAGTAAAACTAAGAGTGCTTAACAGCTACACAAGCAAATCATGTCTCTAGATCCTTTTAAAGTAATGCCAAGAAGGAAGTGTCTAGAGCTCCGGTAACCGGACACAGTATGCAGTGCTAGAGCTCCGGTAATAGGGGCTTCGCCCCTATATATATACTGAGGCTACGCCCCAGTATTAATAATACACTGATTTATATTATAGAAACCGAGTATAAATACAACAACTAGCGTTGATGATGCAGCAGGGTCCTGGTGGTGCAGTGGAGAGGCTGGTGTGGATTGCACGGATATGGTCAGGGGTTCGAATCCGGTCAGGACTACCGGGTAAAGCTATGCTGCAGTTTTTGATTTTTTTTTCTTTTTAAAAAATATCTTTTTTGCAATTTTTTTTCTTTTTGGCTTTTTTTGGGTCAAGAAATAGCACCCTCTCGTACATCTTAGCCTCCGGGGTCGTAGGGTTGGGATTGGGGTTTAGTGTTTAGTTTTTAGAACACCCTCTCGTACATCTTAGCCTCCGGGATCGTAGGGTTGGGATTGGGGTTTAGTGTTTAGTTTTTAGAGCACCCTCTCGTACATCTTAGCCTCCGGGATCGTAGGGTTTTGGGGTTAGGGTTTAGTGTTTCTTGATAAAAAGACTAAGTTCCATTTTGCACTATTGCGCATGCGCACAAGCTGTTTTACGGAGAAAAACGGACTGCCGGAGCTCTAGCATTGCAAACTACGTCCGGTTACCGGAGCTGTAGACACAGCCTAACAAGAAGGCCTTTTGTTAGTGGATGAGTCTTCTTGCGCCACGCCTGCCACTTTAACAATAGAATATGAAAAAACTACCATAACCAATTGCATTAAGTAGCATTCAAGAAGCTCCAAGTATCTAGTGAAGTCCCATCCATGAACCAGAAAGACGTTAGCAGGCTTTGTAGTGAAGCTTCCTATCAATCCACCATTGCTGAGCTGCCGTTGCTATGGTAATTCCAATGAATTTCATTAAATTAATGCGACCGGAAGTCCCATTGCAATAGCTGGACATGGGTTAACTGAGTACAAACTCACTCAATTCTTTGTTGCAAACGTTAATAAAATCAGAGGGAGAAAAGCTTGTTGCCATTATTATGATCAGGAATTTTCATACCCACGCAAATGACGCAGTCTACGTGGGTGTTTTGCTTGCATAGCTATTTCAGATGGAGAAGAGTCAGCACTCTTGTAATAATGTTTCATTTGAATTTCTATTTCAGAGAGTGATTTGATACATTTCACCTTTCAATTTCCATAGTCCGTGGCTCCGTGCTACAACACACACGCTGTCACTGGTGAGTTGAGTACTTGGTATTTTATAGTTATATACTCAAAATGGTGTCAGTTTTAGATCTATTTTTATTGGGTTAAAATTTCAGTGTAAAAGTCAATCGATTGTGTGTGTACCATTTTCCATTTACAGTCTTGCAGGCCCAGGCTACAATCATTTGGGCGGAAATGACTGTAGGCTGGGAAAATGGTGGATTTTAATTATAGATCTAGCAATTTCTGCATGTACCGTATAGGGGTTATATTTCACTGGAAATAGATTTCGTGAATTTCGCATTTTCATTAAATTTGTGAAATTAAATTCCACAAAAGAGGTGTGGCACACTAGGAAAAACGGCTGCAGAAGGTAGGATTCACGAAAATTTATACCAACAAATGGCAAATCTGGACAAATTCGTGAAATTTTATACCAACAAAATAAAACCCCTATACGGTATCCAATAGCCAATATGAATTACTCACCAATAAATCATCTTGTGTGGTAATTCTTATGATAATGCAAATTTGCTAATTTTCAAAAATAGGCCACTCCAATTTTAATTGTTTTCTCTATCCTGCCTGCATAACTGTGAGCCTGACCCTTATATACTAGCATATACCCATGTCAAGCATTAT